TTTTTTTTTTTTTTTTTTTTTTTTTTTTTAATCTCTGTGGAATTGGTCTCGCAAGCGATCGGGATTGTTTTTAATATGTCAAAATGTGTCTGCTGACGCCACTCCTGCTCTTCGGATTTGCATTTTTTCAAGTCTATGGTAAGTTCGCCTATTTTAGATATGTCATTTCTGTGCAGAAATCCCCTTCATCTGAATCTGATTTGGGACAGCACATGGATGGCATTATAAGCTTTAACGTTACAGAGCCTTAAGTTTGTTCTTGGTATAAAAATGGTATTTGGGGAGGGAGGGGTCGGAAGAGGGAGAATATATGTTTCCAATAAGCAGTCCTTCCCGTCTCCTAACTTAGCGGAAAAGCGGCTTATGAATGGAAGCATGTCAGCTTGAGGTGGCGAGCAAAAACTACCGTGATAAATCTTTTATTTGGGGGTGGCGAGCGGGAAGGGGAACGGAAAAGCAGAGCGCTGCTCTAGCTGGTATTACTTTGCCGCCTTCTATTGTTAAACTTTCCACCGGGAGAGCCAGCTGATGAAATAAATAGGTTAGCTGTGCCTCGGGTCCAGGTGAGGAGCACTGGCGGATTTCCAGAGTCCCTCACCGCCTCGTTCGGCGCTGGCGAGCGGCAGGAAGGGAGGGAGGGAGGCGGGCTGGGAGCGCGGGGCGGCGGCAGCGCGGTCCCGACCGCCCCGCTCCGCCTCCTCCCATCCCCGCCGAGCCGGGCAGGTGGGGCCGCAGCGTCTCCCCGTCGGCTTTATCCTCATTCCGAGCTTCCCCGAGGGAGGGTTTTCATAAAGCTTAGCAACGTCTGGGGAAAGGGTGGGTTTCCTTGCACACACCGCCCCCCTCCCTTTGGATGTGCTCTGCAACGTTTCTTGTGGTTTTCGAGTTTAAGTACTGGATGGGGAGCTGTAAATTATCTTGGGGAAGTACGGTTTAGCAGGGCGAGAACTTCAGTGCAAGGGTAAATTGCCTTTCAGAGTAGGGGTGGGCGCTGTGCTGCTGCTSAGGCAGTGGATGCACTACAGCAGCTCAAGCACGCGGCTAGCAGCGAGCATCCGGCTCTGCTGACAGTGTGCTGGCACCAAATGCTCGGCAGTCCACCTAGCATCGGGTATTTGCAGCTCTAACGAGTCCTTTAGGCTTGAGGGGAGTGTAGTGTCTGGGACCCTCGATGTTTTTGCATGTGTGTCAGAGCAAACTTCGTTCCAAGAAGCAGTTYACAGCATTTACTGTACCAGTCCCAAGGCAGGGGCTCGGGATTTATTGTTTGCAATCGCAGGCTGCTTTGGGTGTTTCTCCATCACTCCTAGCAAGAAAGGAGGCAAAATAGAAAGAGTCACAGATTCAAGTGCCGCTTTACCTTGGTTGCAGAATATGCTCTGCAGTTTAATACTCAGTTTGGTCAACCGATCAGAAAATTTCTGCATAATGCTAAATGTATGCACATGCTAAACTGAATAGGAGAAGTTCTACTGTGAAATTATTTAAAGGGCATTTGTGTCTATCAGTGCAGTCATAGTTTAGAAAGGGTTTTAGTGTTATGTTTTGCGTTATTTTTCTTGCTGTAACAAAAGATGCTTAAGACCRCCAAAACTGGATAAATCTTTGTATACAAACTGCAAACATCAGGTCATAGAAATATAATTATTAGTAAGTGTTTTAAATTGTATGTAGCTAGAAGGAATACAATTAAAGTGCTCAGTGGAAGTGAYAGAGTGAATCAGAGTAGCTTGATGTTACAGAATGTAATTAAAGTACCAGGCTGTTTGGAGATATATGAAACAAATGCAATTAACCAGCTTGCTGTAACGACAGGAGCAAGACATAATTTATTCGAGTTTTGTCATGGGGAACATACKTAGAACCTTTGTTCTGGTTTAGCCTTATGAGGGTGGGGCGGTGCAGGTGAAGCACAAGGCTAATTTAGAGCCGGACCATTAGGAAAAATCACCAAGAAGCTGCTTGGAATAGATGGGATAYTCCCCTTTTGTGGGAAGTCATTGCAGAGACTGGCAAGTTTGCCTACATTAACAACTCTCTGAAATAAATAAATAAAGAGCTTTGTGGTTAGCACATCATGACCAAGTAGATATAAGCTGTTATTGTCGAAATGACTAACAAGTAGCTTTGAAGAAATACTGGCAGGCAAGCTTGGCACCCAGTGCTTTTGTCTCTTTAGAAGCATAGTAATTAGGATCGCATCTTAAGCTGACATATACCACTAGTTGCTTTGAAAAGATCTCTATCAACATCAGCACCATTTGTAATGCTGTAGCTTAAGAATAAAAGGCAAAACCCAACAGTCCTCTTGTTTAATAGGTCCTTGGTTTGAAAGTTTGAAAGTTACCTCTTGGTGCATTTCTGGGTTTGAGGGGTTTTTTGTTGCTGGTTTGGCTGGTTTTTTTGTTTGTTCTCTTGGCAAGAAGTCCAGACGTAGACACTGTAGCATTTGAGGCATGTTAACCATCCTTGTCCCACTGAGTTTAATTTAGTGATTCAAAAGCGATATAGATCAAAATTTTGTTTTTCTTCTAAAGTTATGTTTGCTGTCCATGGCTTTTGGAAACCTGAAAATTGCAAAGCCCAAGAAAAGTGGCAGAAAACATGTAATACATGCATATMAGTAGATTTTAGATGTTTTATTACTGTGCTTTTGATTTTTCTGTAACGCTGCCCATGTTCTTACACTCTGATCAGGGAATAACTTCAGTTCTCTTCAGTTGTCAATTTTGGTTACTGTTCATGACAAAAAAACAAAAAACAAAAAAAATCAAACACAAAAAATCCCAAATACCAAAACACACACAAGTCCCCCATCCCCCACTATCCAGAGTCTGTACCATAAAGTAAGCCATTAGTTACTTGAGTTAAAAGAGTTACATGTGGGTTTTTAATAGTGTTCAGTTGRTTGTTCTTTCATTGTTATGTGTTTTGTTATCTTTCTATCATTAATAAAACTTAAAAGAATGTATATTATCAGAAAAGTTCACACTAATGAACTGATGTGAACACGTTTTGGTGGGCAGACCCTGGCCTGGTAGGACTCATAAGTACTTTCAGTGAAAATGACAACCTTTTATGTCAGAGCTGGGTTTAGTCCCTTGAAAACTACAAGTGTGATGCTTTTGAATGGGTGAAAGTGTTTAAGATTTGTGAGAATAAATCTGGGAAAACAGCATTTTATCTCCGTATTAATATATTTCAGGAGTATTTTTTTCTTAATGGAAAGTGTGCATCTGAAATGGTGTGGTGGCTGAAACGTTCTGTATTTATTTTTCTTTTTTTTTTTTTTTAATTCTTTTTTTTTCTTCATGTTTTTTTTTTTTTTTAATTCTTTTTATTTCTTCATGCCAATGAACCACACATCTGTGGCCTTGTGCAGGTCCCTGTTGCCTGTTGGAGAACATGGCTTACATATAAAGCTGGAGTATATTCTTCCAATGAGTATTTGAGCTGACAGGGTCTTGATCTCTCATGTGAGTTTTGCTGTTGATGGATAACCTTTGCTTCTGTGGAATGTGTGCATTTTAATGCTTTAAGAGTGAAATTGTGGAGAGTGCAGTTTTGTTTCTTCTACCTTGTCCTTCCATTGGACCCAGTTCTGCAGGGCATTTAAGTGCTTCCATTTCACTGAAGTTAATAAGAATTTAAACACGTTTCAAGTTAATAATGTGTTTTAAAACTTTGCTGAGTAAGGATTTATGCCTATGATGACAGGTTTTGCTGAATTAGTCTTAAGATTTTGCTTTCTTTACTTTCTATCTAAGTCTCATTGCAGCAGTAAGTTTTTATATGCAGAAGATAAGCACTGAGAGAACCCTGTCATTGTACTTCCAGAGATGGATTTGCTTGAAAAATAATAGGATAATGCAGATACTTAGGTTTGTACCTTTGATTTGAAGCTCTGCAAAAGGTCTGATAATCCACAAATCTTTCTGTAAAGTTGAAATTGGGCTTTAAGGGCTTTAAACCCCTTTATGTGAGTTGCACTGACTCGCTGACTTCCACTGGGAACTCTCTGAATGGTGAGATTGATGTTGCTCATTTTTAGCAATGCAGGCTAAAGATATGCAACCATAAAAGTAGACAAAAGAATTTAAGTCCATTTTTAAGGATTCCTAAAAAGTATCAATGAGATGTGCCAAGAGAAGTGTGATGGGATGAAATGAAGGCTTTGGCTGGTCTGTCCAGTCAACTCCATTTCCAGGAGTCACTTTTCCATAGCAATGCTATGTGGGCTCATGGCCCTAAATTCGAGACGTGCTCTGTCTGCTGCTGAACCATTTAGTGGAAATTACTAAAGAGTATGCAATGGCTTTTTAGCCATTTGTTACCCTTGAATTGCTATTCAAATATTGATCTCAGCTAAATAGATTGCTAACAGGTTCTGTGCATTCTGTTTGAGCCACCTAAGAGGACGCTGCTGTCAGGTTTTATCTGTTATCTCAGCTGGCATGGCAGAGGTTGCTCTTCCCGTGGCTGCCATCTGGCTCACACCTCTCACGCCAGCCTTGGGGGGGGATGCTTAGCGATCATACTGATGCTGTTTCTTGCCAAGAGGCTCYGTTACTGGCGTGCTTTTCTGCATTTCTATAGAAATCTCTTTATTTWTCAAGAAGGAAGAAGAAAGCAAATATTTGCTCTTGCCAAATAAATAAATACATAAAATGTGTTGGCAGTTTTTGTTCTGACTGAACAGACATTTCTTACAGGTAACTGCTTTTGCAGTAATTGTTACCTTTTATTGTTACCTCAGGTTTCTTCCAGTTGTGCTCTGATGGTACCTGTGCCTTGTATGTTCAAAACAATTTATTTTGGTAAATGGATGGCTGTGGAATCTGATCTTAAATCACTACCTGAGAGAATGTTGAGGATACCTTTTGTGCAGAATAGTCGTGTGGACAGTAGTTATGAGATCTTTGAATGCAAAATATTTGTATAGAAATAGRGATTTGCAGATGTATATTTTAGTGTCACCATCTTTACTCTCATGCCTGACTCCTATTATAAATTGTGGACTCTCTGCCCTTCAATTTATATGTCCAGAAATAAGATTGAGTTTAGTCTTCCCCTTGCCTCAAAACTTTTCCTTAACAAAATAACTGCTAATCACCCATGGTTGTTAAAGTGGATAATTA